CCTATAGACTTCATCAAATTCCCTAAGTATATCATCTTTATCCTTTCCCAGTAGTCCGGCCAGTATTTCTTCCATTAGCTGCTCCAGGTCTTCTTCCTTGGATTCCTCAACATTCTGTAATCTCAAGTATGCAGCCACCTTGTCCATTTCTATGTAGACCAATGAGTCTTCCATTTCTTTGCTCACATTTTTTAGTTCTTCATCTATCCTTTCCAATTTCCTTTCTGTTCGTTCCATCCTTGTCTCTACTTCTTTTATCATTGCTTCATTTTTTTACAGGGCCTGTTGTAGTGTTCCAATTTTATCCTCTACATTAAGGATGTCCGCTTTCATTTCAGCTTTTAATTTCCCCATCTCCTCTTTTAGTTCACTAATATCTGCTCTTGTTTCATTATGATTTTTTATCATTATTTCTTGAAGTTTCATCATTGATTCTTGTAGGGTTAGCAAAAGTTGATTCTATATTGGCATTCGAGACATTAGCTTGTTTTTCCCCTGGTAGCGATTCTTCTGTGGTTTTTTGAACTGTGGGTGAAGCTGTTGCCAGGGTAGTTGTTAAAGTCGGGGTAGCCTTCCTTCCAGTTTTCAGAGCCATGGTCATTGTAGAAGTCATTTCTTTTAATATTTGTTTCTGTTGTTGGATTATATTAATTATATTATCCCAAATTACCATTCAGTATTATTACCCCTATATTAGAATTCCGGTATCTAGTTGTTTAGTCCACCTATCTACTATGTAGCTGTATTCTGTATTCTTAACTAGTAACTGAAATATATAAATATATGTTATTTTTAATCCTAAATTCTCAATCACGTATACAATTTTATGAAGTCTATGTTCAAATACTATGCAACACTATATAACATTCCATATAATAAATATATATAATAAATAGTATATCAAATCTAACCAAGTTTAGATTTTGTAAGTTTATAAGTATTGTAAATATATATGTATTCTTATCTAACCTTATCTAACCCTATTTTGAGTATTAGATATTCTAAGTATTCTTAGTCACCAGTATTCTTGAACCTAAACAGTATTATTTTTTTCCCCAATAGATTGGTTATAATCACACACTGTTATACTATTAAAACATTAAATATTAAATATTAAGTCTTATACTTATTGATTAAATAGTTCTTAACCTTCTTGCTTTCCTTTCAGACTTCTGACAGACACTAGTGCAAAAAATTATAACTTGCCAATCTTCCTCTCCACCGTTAAGCTCTTCCTGCCACCTTTTTCTCCACCGATCTTATGAACTGTCACTTACTCACTTTTCACATCAGAGGCAATCCGGACTTTGGAGCCGCCATTGATAGGAGGCTGTCTCTTGCATATTGGACTCTGGAGGGCTCTTCTTCGCTGCTGGGGGGTTGCCTTCCTCAAACTGCAGCCCGAGTTTACCCCACACTGACACGAATCTTCCCGGGATTCGAGCACCCTCTGGGGATCGCACCAACCACAAAAAGAGATAAGCTGAAATCTCAGATGGGCTTCTGCACCTCTACTCATCCTTGCCTTGCCACCGGAAGTCCATCTCAGCATTTTTAAAGAGAAAAAAGCCCAGGCAATTATTGTATATGGTGAAAACATAACTGTGAAGTGGTTGGCTTTAGCACTGCTACTAGGAGTTTATTTTATAACTGATCCGACTTACAATGGGACTTTGTCTACCTCAAAGGTGTGGATTACAACTGCTCAGAATGACTTCACTTTACATCTCCTGCAAAAGTCATTTCCAATGCAAATCTTTCATGGAGCTCTTGCCTTCATGTTTCATACAAAACAGCCACAAGGATTTCAGAATTTTCTTAAGACAATCAAACTTCCTAACAGGAAAAGAGAAGGTTTTATTTCCAGTTTTTGAGAACAAGCTTTTGAGTGCACAAATGGTGTGTGTCAGGGAGAGGGGCCCCTGGAGAGTCTTCTTGCACCTTTCTTTGAAATGAGCATGACAGGGCACAGTTACAGTATCTACAATGGGGTTTCTGCTCTGAAACATAGCTTGCATGCAGCTCTTATATCACAATCCATCCTTCAAGCTATGGAGAGTTATAAAAAAGTGGAACCTTGGCAGGTAAGCTTCCTCAATTTTCTTTTTAATTGTCTAGAAAATGTAAGAGACTGGCTCACGTTGCTTCAGTCCAGCCTAGCCAATGTGACTTCAGCCTGGTCTTTCCAGTGTGAAGAGGAAACATGCCAGCAGTTTGGACAAGCTGGCCATGCCCATCCAGTTGGCCACAGAAGGCATCAAGCAGACCTTCTCCACTCAGTCGGCCATGCCCACCCAGTTGGCCACACTCACCCAGCCACCTGATGCGTCCCTCAGTGAAATTGAGTTTGACATACTCCTGGACTAGAATACAGATTGTCCTTGAGTTACAATCACAACTGCCCAAAATTTCTGTAGCTAAGTGAGCATATTAAGGGACATTTGCTCCATTTTATGACTTTTCATGTCACCATTATTAAATGAACCACTGCAGTTGTTAAGTTAGTAACGTGGTTGTTAAGTGAATCTGGTTTTCCCAATGACTTTGCTTGTCAGAACGTTGCAAAAGGGGATCATGTGATAATGGGAGACTGCCACCATCATAAATATGATCCAATTGCCAAACATCTGAATTTTGATCACATAACCATGGGGATACTGCAATGGTTGTAAGTGTGAAAAATGATCATGTCACTTTTTTCAGTGCCTTTGTCACTCTGAACAGTCACTAAATGAAGATAAGTCGAAGACTACCTTACAACTGAAGGACCTCAAGTACCTGCCATTCCAATATTCGTCAAGCTTGTTTATTTCATTCAACTTATGTGCTACCCATCTCATTACCCAAAACAATTCAACAATATAATAAAATTATAAATATAAAAAGATTAAAATTATTGAGTCATATTGTATAGGACAATCCATGCTTTTTTTAAACAAAAAATAAAGCTTGTTGTTTAGTTCCTGGACATTTCATTACCAAAATAAGTAACATTTCAGCAGGGTTTTAGGTGAAGTGTTTTGTTCGGTTTCTTTTCTGTTTATATGGGTGCTGTGAAGTGTTGTGGTCGGCTGGTCATGTGAATGGCTGTTTGTGAATGTTGTGGCTCACCGGCGGCTAGCAGAGCTGGCAGCAGAGTCAGACAGTGAGGATGTTGGGGAGGAACATGGGCCAGCCTGGAGGCTGAGGAAGGCTTGGATGAGGGCTCTGCATCAGAGGCAGAGATGGGAACAGGACCATCTGACAATTATCAGCTGCCTTTGGAGTTGGACAGCAGTGAGGTGGGGGAGCATCTGGAGCCGGTTCTCAGCCTGCACATGCACAGAGCTGCCAAAAGAAAAGAATAATTACAAACTAAGGGTCAACATGGGAGTAAAGCCAAAGGTGGATTGTGAATGGCCCCTTCCAGAGGGATTAAAAGAGGAGCAAAAAGTGTAGGGCTTTTGCAGGAAACAATTTGTTCATTGCAGCAGTGTGAAGATCTGTCTCAGAGACACTGTGCCAAGCCCTTCCTTGTCAGCACTGCATTTGAAAATATTTACTTGGTAGCTCTCCAAGGTCTGTGCTCCTAATTGGAACCTTGAAAGACTGTTTGCCAGGCCTTTGGCTGAATGTGAATGAAAGAAATTCACCTTCATTTAATAAAGGGGTTTTTACCAGGACAAAGTTTCTACTTAGTGCTTTGGGGGGAAGCCTAGGTCAGAACAGTGAAGCTCAAAATTCATCCAGTGAGGAGGTGATTGGTGATTCTGTCCCTGATTAGTGGTTCAGGTGGTCCCCAAATTGTTATACAATAAAAGTAGTTTCATTCTTTAACTATGGTTTCTGAATTGCTAATGCTCCCAGGGCTATCCATGGGCATTGCTTGAAAGAACATAGGATGAATATTTCAAACCTTTCCCTTATTCATCTCTTCTTGAAGCTTCACTCATTTCTACAGAGAATTTTCTTTAACAACTGCTGGAGATGAAATTACTTTGAATGAGCAGGGAAAATTAGAGGCTGGATTTGACATTGTGAACTTGATCACTTTCCCAAATAATTCTTATATCAGAGTCCATATTGGAGAAGTGAACCCACATAATTCTCTAGGGAAAGCCTTTTTGATTAATGAGAAGAGAATCCAGTGGCAACCAGAATTTACTAAGGTATATTAATCATTACATTGTTTAAATGACAAAAATCATGTACAACCTTTGCCATGGCTAGATATTATGTCACAGACCCCCAAGTATAATTTGAGATTTTATACAGGAACTGTAAAAGATCATCTGAGACAGGCAGATCACTAGCAGAATAACTAAATTCCAGTCATACAGAGCAGGTCCACTCAGCTGTCATTGATAGCTGAACGGCAAAGAGCTATCTGCCCTTAATTTCATATACAAATGTAAATGGTCCAAGACTTAAGGTTTCTTTTCATGTTGGAACAAGATGAGCATCCTCATCTTCTCTAAATGTACTGAATTACAATGGGATTCCCAACACAACCCCATCTATTGTCTGTAAATAGATAGGAAAATGAGATGATAGATGATGATTGATAGATAGATAGATGGTAGATAGATAGATAGATAGATAGATAGATAGATAGATAGATAGATAGATAGATAGATAGATAGATAGATGGATGATAGATGATATATAGATAAATAGATAGATAGAAAAAAGATAGATAGATGATAGATAGAAAGATAGAAAGATAAATGAGACAGAGACAGAGACAGACAGACAAACAGACAGACAGACAGACAGACAGACAGACAGACAGACAGACAGAGACAGAGACAGAGATAGAGACAGTCAGATGTTAGAGATATAGAGTGAGTGAGTGATTGACTGACAGATTGGTTGGTTGATTAATTTTACTGATCTCCAGACTTTTTGAATAGTTGCCACCTCATTCCTTATGCAATGACACTTGTCCACCTGGATATAGAAAAACAAAGAAGGAAGGGGAGAAATTTCGCTGCTATGATTGTGCTCCATGTCCAGAAAGGATGATATCAAATCGGATGGGTAAGATGCATCACATTAAAGCAAATCTCAATTATTTTGCCACACAGTTTTGTCTCTATATCATCCATGACTCCAGGCCCAATTGGAATCTTACTCAAATAGGGGTGGGATGGGACACAAGTAGGGATGATAGGACACAATAGGTAAAGATCACAACTATCTCTTAGCACAAATATCAAATTAAGAACTACACAATATATTTTCATCTTTTGGCCAACCATTGAGGCTTTATGGTTTAATAGCTGTTGATCTGTTTGTGGTTTATTTTATCATATTTTTGACTAGTTTCTCCTCTGAACACTTTATGGTGGTCCAACTAAGGCTAAATAAAGAGAGTCTTACTCTGATTCTTTCTGAGAGTTTCTCTGTTAATTTTTGGCTCTTGAGACATATAAATACTATACATCTACTTGAATGTTTTCTACCTACAGGCCACTATTGAGTCTTTACTAAAGTGGAAGATTTTATCACTTACTGTCACTGAATTCACCCTGTTTTGGGTACTAGACTGTTATGTCCCACCTTCAAAAATAAACAGATAAGGCTGAAAGCAGCAGTCCTCGCAAATACAGGCAGCAACCAGGAATCTTCACTGATAACAGCTGTAGTTAGCCTCCACAAGATAGTCCAAGTTAATAGTTCCAATAAATCCAAGTCCCAACAAGATATTTCAGGTTTAAATCCTCCAAGCCAAAGTCTTTGGTTCTCCTTGCAAACAGTTTGTTCCCGACAGCGTGCAGAGTCATCCCTCTTCCTTTTATAGAGCAGCAGCTAATTAGTCTAATTACTGATCTGCCCTCCCCCTGTGCTCCCGTTGGTTTCTTCTCGTCAGGAGACGCCTGCTTCTGACATCCACCCAGCGATTATCTAAATTATTACTTTCACCTGAAGACTCCATAAGTTCCTCATTATCAGCCGTTCCCGGCTGATAACCCGATTGAGAAGCCGAGGAGGTTGAAGGTTCAGGCCGGTCCTGCAAATCAAATGTCCTCCCTTGTAACATTCTCATTCAAAACTGCAAGCAAAACTGTTAGGACTCCCTTTTGAAATTCAA